CCACAATCCCTTCTCCTCTATTCTCTTCTTGGGATCTCGAGCATGCACACACACGCGCCTGTCATGAGTTTTAAGCCACCGGGTACAGGACTCGAATCATGGTCCACTACATGGGAATCCAGTGACATAGCCATTACGCTAACTGCTGGTCCCTAGGAATGGGCAGTTCTTTTGCACCTCAAACTTTAGGAAAAGCACAGGACATTAGTAAATTTTATCATCTTTCATGTCACTTTCTGCACTTATTTTATATTTTTCTACTCTCCACAAAATTTGAGTAAGGGAAAACACAGGATCTCCCTGTTGTTTGTCCTTAACTTTTTAGCAATACAGTAATGTTTACAAGAAATGTCTACTGTGTGAGTCACTGTATTTCATAGTATTTAAGAAAAGTTTTCCATGTGAATGTTTAGATTGGGGAGACACATATATACAATTTAGATGCTAGTATATTTAATATTTTAAAATATAATAGTTGAAAAATTGTCTCTCCCACTGAAATAAAACAAAAATATATACAAATGACAACAAAAGCTTCAAAACAAAGCAAATAACATCTAAAATCAACAGTGACATAAAAATACTTGTTTTGTGGGCTAGCATCAGATCCCACATAGGCAGCCATAGTTTGAATCCTGCCTTTCAGAGCTTGGAAAACATTCTGGGTGGATGTGTATATATGCTCAAGATCCCAACAGGATGGAGAGATGGAGGAAAAAGGCTTGTGGTGTGATCATGCCCCATTAGGGTGCGTTCTCCCTTTCCCTCTGTCTCTCTGTCTCTCTCTGGCAAGTGCATATACCATCCTGCAAATGAAAGAAAAGGTCTTGCATCATAATTTATTTGAATGATAACATTGCAAATGTTATAAGCCTATTACACTACATGCAAGTATACTATATAATATTTACACTTACCACTCTCCTCAGTAAATCACTGATTGGAGTAAATGCAATATAAATTGGACCCAATTAATTAAAATTGCAAATAGGACCCAATCAATTAAAATTGTAAACAATATTTTAACTTTATATTAAATGTATATAACAGGTTTATCTGAGGATGCACCCATAGAAACCTTTAATCCCAAAGATTGATTTATTCATAGAAAAATGACAGATAGACAGACAACATCACACCATAAACCTTTCAAGATTTTCTTCGAAAGCATAGATAGATGAACAGTGTAACCATTGAGAAAAAAAACAAGAGGAGCCAGCAGATGGCGTAGCAATTATGTCACTTGACTTCCACATGACTGACTGTGGTTCAAGTCCTATACCTAGTAGCTTAAAACTCACACCAAGTGCCTGTGTGTTTGTGCCCAAGATCCCAGGAGGAGAATGGAGGAGAAGGGATTGTGGAGTAGCCATTCCCCCTGGGGGGCTATTTCTTGTTTTCTGCCTCTCTGTCTCTCTGGTGAGTACATGTACCCTATAGCAAAAATCACTCCAAAAAAAAAAGAAAAAGAAAATATCAAGAGGGTTAAAAGATATCTATACATATCCATATAGTTATATATAGATATATATGTGTGTACATATAGACATATATGTAAACCTAAACTCCATCCAAAATTTGATAGAAATTAAATGCTCTATGAAGTTAAAATCAATTTCTCATTATAATACATAATTTGTAAAGTTAAGTATGTCAAGAAAATGTAAACTCTTACTTAAAGCAAAGGTAAAGTTTTAATTTCAATATGTAAGATGTTTTGTAGGCTGGAAACTGCTGGTTGGGAGCTCAAAGACCCCAAACAGAATGGATACAGAAACCTGAACAGAAGTTTAATTATCTAAAGCTGACACCAATTAAGAATGCCCTCTAGTGCTTGCTTCGGCAGCACAAATACTAAAATTGGAATGATACAGAGGAGAATGGTGTGGCCCCTGTACGAAGATGACACACAAATTTGTGAGGCATTCCATAAATTTTAGAAAACCTGAATAGACCTATAACAAGCCAGGAGATTGAATCAGTAATAAGTAATCTCCCAACAAAGAAAAGCCCAGGTCCCGATGGCTTCACTTCTGAATTCTACTAAACTTTTAAAGAAAAGTTAACCCCCATTCTACTCAATTTATTTCTAAAGATCCAAAAGGAAAGATACTTCCCAAATTCATTTTATGAAACCTCCATCATCCTCATTCCCAAAACAGACATAAACATGACAAAAAAGGAAAAGTATAGACCAATATCTCTGATGAATATAGATGCAAAAACTCTTAACAAGATACTTATGAGTCATATCCAACAACATATAAAAAAGATTATTCATCATGACCAGGTAGGCTTTATTCCAGAGATGCAAGGATAGTTCAACATATGCAAGACCATAAACATAATACACCATATTGACAAAAAGAAAGAAAAACCATATGATCATTTCAATCGATGCAGAGAAAGCGTTCAACAAAATATAACATCTCTTCATGATTTAAACTCTTAGCAAGATTGGCATAGAAGGGTCATTTCTCAACACAATAAAAACCATATATGAAAAACCTATAGCTAACATTATACTGAATGGGGAAAAACTAAAAGCTTTTTCACTAAAAACTGGTACTAGACAAGGCTGCTGTCTTTCTCTACTCCTTTTCAATATAGTGCTGGAAGTCTTAGCTAATGCAATCAGAAAAGAGAATAATATAAAAACATTAAAATATGCAAGGAAGAGTTGAAAATATCTTTATTTGCAGATGACATGATGGTATACTTAGAAGACACAAAGGGTTTCATGAAAAAACTTCTAGAAATAATAAATAAATACAGTACAGTAGTAAGGTACAAAATCAACATCCAAAAATCTATAGCATTTCTATATGCTAACAAGTTGACCAAGGTACAAATAAAGAAAGGAATCTCTTTTATCATAGCCACAAAATATTTAAGATACCTAGAGAGAAACCTAACTAAGAAAGTCAAAGACCTTTACAAAGAAAAGTATAAAGATCTTTAAAAAGATATTGAAAATGACACAAAAAAGTGAAAGAACATCCCATGTTCCTGGATTGAAGAATTAATATAATAAAATGGCAATTATACCTAAATTAATCTATATATTTAATGCAATCTTATCCAATTACCAGAGACATTCTTCACAGATCTAGAAAAGACAATCATAGAATTTGTTTGGAATCATAAAAGACCTTGTATTGCCAAAACAATCCTGTGCAAGAAAAGTGGAGTGGGCGGCATCTCATGCCCAGACCCCAAGATATACTATAAATCCATTATAATCAAAACAGCATGGTATTGGCACAAACACAGACAGGTGGACCAATGGAATAGAATAGAGACCCCAGAAAAAAAAAGCCAAAACATACAGCCAACTGATTCTTTGCAAAGGGTACCAGTCAATCCAGTGGGAAAAGGATAATCTTTTTAGCAAATGGTGCTGGAAAAACTGGATATCCACCAGCAGAAAGATGAAACTAGAACCCCCATATTTCACCATTAACAAAAATTAACTCAAAGTGGATCAAAGATCTGAACCTAAGACCTCAAACTATGAAACTTCTGTGGAAAACACTGGCAAAACTCTGGGAGACATTGGGTAGCAAAGACTTCTTAAGCAAGACCCCCAAAGCACAGACAATAATCCCCAAAATAGACAGGTGATATTACATCGGATTAAGAAGTTTCTGCACGCCAAAGGACACCATAATTAGTGTGAATTGACAACCCTTGGAATGGGAGAATGTTTTTGTAAACTGTGCCTCAGATAATGGACTGATAACCAGAATACACAGGGAATTCAAACAGTTTACCAGGAAAAAAAAAAAAAAAAAAACACAAATAACTCTCTAAGGAAGATTCAAACAGCCAAAACCCATATGAGGAAATGCGTAACATCCTTCATGATAAGGGAGATGCAGATTAAAACCACAATGAGATGACACTTAACCCCTGTCTGAATGGCAAAGATTAAAAATACATAAAATTTATAAGTGTTGGCAGAATTGTGGTGAAAGGGGAATTCTCTTACACTGTTGGTGGGAATGTAAATTGGTCCAGCTACTGTGGAAAACAATCTGGTGGTTCCTCAAGGACCTACAAATAGAATTACCATATGATCCAGCAATCCCACTCCTACCCAAAGGACAGGAGAATGTTCAGTTGGTAAAGCACTTGCACATTAATGTTTATTGTGGCATTATTCACAATTGCTAAGACATGGAACCAAGCCAAATGTCCATGAACAGGGCCCAATCACCCCTGTAACCCCTCATTCTTGTGTCACTATCAATCTGGTAGTGAAAGGCTCTATCGATTCACTGGGAGACCAATTTGGAAACATTTTAAAAAGGTTTAAGCATATACAGATCTTTTAGTTTCAATTCTAGAGGTTTAGAAAGCTATCCTGAGGTCATCCAGTCATGCAACAAGTATTTATTGATTGTTTTCTATATCCCAGGCATTATTCTAGGTGCTGAGGATACAACGGTGAACTAAACAAAGAAAAACTATTTTTTAATTGTCTTTCACATTCTGGTATGGAAAGACAGGCATTAAATAAGATAAAGGAATGAACTGTAAAGAAAGTTAAATGATTGAGTGTTGAAAAACTAGAGAATCATGACAAAAAAAGTGTTGGAGGTGCACAATTTTAAATAAGGCACAGTCAAGAAAGACCTAATTAAAAGGTGCTATTTAAGTTGGATGTGTGTATCAGTTAGGGTGTCTGCAGCTACTAGCTTAATAATAAATATATTACTTGACTTTTTGAGCTACTTCTCTGTATGCTTAGGCCTGCTCCTTCCTCTGAGGTGTGTACTTCTCCTTCTGCTTAATAGACTACCTTTTCCTAAAAAAAACAAAACAAAACAAACAAACAAAAAAAAACCAGATGAATTGAAAAACTGTGGCACATATACTCTATGGAATACTATTCAGCCATAAAATAAATAAATAAATAAATAACAACAACAACAAGACCCTGGCATTTGATAGAAAGTGGTCAAATATGGAAGACTTATTGCTGAGTGAAGCAAGTCAGGCCATGAAAGAAAGATACTGTATGTCTCCACTTAATATATACTGACTGACCGCACTCTATGGTAAAGACTGAAAGATTGGAGGGCATAAAAGCAGTCAAAATAATTATGGACACTGGAGACAGGGAGGAAAGAGAATGGAAGAAGGCAAGAGTATAGGGAAGGAAATCAGGGAGAAAAAAATAGAGAAGCAAGACATTTCTGGGACAAGAAATGGTTTATTACCTCTTCATGATAATGTGTATAGTAGTCTCAACTGGACTGGTCTGAGATATATTTCATTTTGGGTATATTCTCTTTACAAGTCAAATGATGTATAGCTATTGAATGTTTAAAAAATAAAAATAATAGAAATAAAATAAATTAAAAGAAGAAAAGAATGCCCAAGAGATAATCACACCCTATGGATCCAATCATTGAACTGATCATGTACCTGGGACCTCTGCATCTAATTTTGCCTTTTAAAACACATATGAGGAACACCTTTAAGAGACAAGGTTTTTTTCAGCATGAGCTGCTCTTTCTCCTTGCTTTGCACTTTGCAACATAGCTGTACGTTTCTTCATACGTTTCTTCATTAAAAAAAAAAAAAATACTTTTTACAAAAAATAATTCAAATCAACTGTATAAACTGCAACATTTTTTTCAATATTTCTGAATCAATATGACTTTAAATTAGTGAAATTTCTGTGTAACTACCCTTTCTAATATGATAGTCATTAAAATGCCTAAAGAGTATAAAATCCTCCAGAGAAGATTTCCCTAATTTTAAAAAATATTATTTAAATTATTTTTCTATTTTGTTAAATTATACTTTATACTTACACATTGCATATCTTTGTCTGTATCTCTTGTATATATTTATATTTCAATTTGAAGTCTCCAAAGTCCACCACTAGGAGACAAACCCTCCAAAAATACCCACAAATTAAATTCCTTGTTGATTTAATGTTTTTATGACTACTTGAACATTTTTGTATTTCATCCATGCTTTTGTCACTTATAATCTACAAAGCCAAAGAACAAATAAGATGCAATAACTACATAATTAATCTGTAATCAAATATTTTTGAAGAATAAAATGTAGGTTTGGTCATAACATCAGGTAATACTTCTTTACCATCATTAAAAACTGTTGATTTTACAGAAAATACTTGATACAGTATTGACATCCAAGGAGATTTTATAAAATCTCATTGTAAGAGAATGAGAAATGTAATATGGAGCTTGATTTTTTTTTTTCTAGGCCTAAAATCTGGAATGGAACCATAGAGTAAAATCTGGAATGGAACAATAGAGTCTAAAGAACAAAGTCAGACTACCTAAACTTTTGAATTATTTACTTTTCAATTAAATTATTATCAAAGTGATCCTTATTCACAGTAAAATTAAAAAAGGCCAATTTGAAATATAACATATTTATATACCAACATACTATCCTGCCTTCCCTCCCATTAAACTTCAAAGACCATTTTCCCAACCACTTTTAAAGATCTTTTCTGTTTCTTCTCACGCTCCCCTCCATTTTTCTGAAGAAAAAGTTTATTCCTATTTCTAATTCATTAATTTTAGATATCAGTTATTAACCTCTTATTTTAGAAAATTAAAATTGGGCAATTTTATAACTCAGATACGCATATTTCCTTCTACCCAAAGAAAAGTAATTTTTACTTCAATAATCAGTGATGATATTATTATCATAATTTAAAATGTTTTAAATAATTATTTTATTTAATTTTATTTATTTATCTATTTATTTTTTTAAAATTGCCAAA